GAGGCAAGCGGGCAACGCGCTAATTACAAACCCATCGAAACACCAATCACATGCAAGCCAGCTCTTCCCACTTCAACCAAGCCTTTACCCCAACAAAAAAAGTAACTATTGCGCTCGCTGCTCTACCCTTGGCAGGATGACCTCATCAAGCTATACTGACCTGTACAGGACCGCTCCTGCACCAGATTCTAGAACTCCAGAAGATTGAGTTTGGGGTGCAACGACGTGGCAAAACTTTTTACAGAGACTTGTAGAGCAAGACACCGCTGCAGCAATTTAATGCACAACCTTATCGGGTTGGGTCCCGTGGCACAGCCATCCAAAAGTAAAAACAAATCACCTACTATTTTTAATCCTTTGATCGCGCCAAGGTCAAAGACAGTCCCTTTCACGATTTTCAGGCGCTCATGACAGATGCCCTGCGACAGGAGGAGGAGAACTATCGCCAATTCCTGCCATGGACCTTGGCCTGCAGATTTTAGCTTGCTCCAAAAGCATCAGGGCATCTTCCACCATGCTGTGTAGTGGTTACAGTGGTTGCTACTCACCTCTGCAACCTGCAATCCAATGAGGACCACCGCGTCTTGATGAGCCTCTGGGAGCCACCAACCTATCTGCACAGCTCCCCTCATCAACTAACGCTTGCATTGGATGGGAGTCCCTAGAGCCCCGCAGTGACTCCCCTGTATTTGCATCGTTCCCTCATCAATGAACATGCTTCCCACATCCTGGTTAGAGCCTGATGCTTCCAGCTCTCACCTCACATCACCCTTACCTTCTCAAGTTGCCTCGGCTTCCCCTGGGAGGATTCACCTCCCTTGCTTTCTTGGCATCTTCTCACCAACGTCTTCAGCTCTTCTTCCCTTTGAACCGCGCCAGAAATGGCATCACCTTCTAAGAAGATCGCCCCACCTTTTTTGCCTATTCTTTCTCTCCTCAGAAGTCAGTTCCTCTTGTTGGGATCTGGGTCCCTGGGTCCATGCCGGTCTCCTTGCTGTGAAAGATTTGTTCCATCTCAAATTCCTCCGCGTCCTCTCTGGGAGAATTGGCTTGTCTCGCATGCGGCGAGAGCACTGGGCTTGAGCCCGATTTGTTGAAGCTCCGCTCTTCCTCACGAAGCGCTTCTAGCCGCTTCTAGCCCTCCTAGTCCTGGCTGACTTCGCACACAACTCGCTGTACGTGAAAGCTGGTACTAGGCCCTGGCAAAAGCTTCTCTTTCTCCCTCTGACTTATCAAACTGCCAAGAAAGCCTTTCGTTCCTATATCCAAATCTTCTTGATCGTGATTGGGGACTTCGATTAAGGCTAAGGGAGGCTTCCCCTTGCTCCACGCATTGGGCGACCTCTGCCTGGTGCGTAAGAAGGCTGGTCTCCTCAATGCCACTTTGTGAGATTAGTCACCCTTCTTACCCTTTAATGGCTCTTCAAGTCCTTGCATCCTCGAAGCTGCGTTGGGACAACTTCGCTCCCCTTATGTTGAAAGGTTTAAGTAAACTTGCCAACGCCGCCTTGGGAATCATAGACTCCCTTTATCTTTCAATAAGGCCTCTTCATGCTTTGGGAGCACTCTCGCTCCCCTCAGTTTGAGAAGTTTCGGTCAGTTTGCTGCATGCGCTGGACGCTGGATCTCTCCCCTTGCTCCATGCCTTTAACGACCTCTGCTTGTGCATAAGAAGGCTGGCCTCCGCAATGCCGCTCTGGGAATCATAGGCCCCTTTATTCTTCAAAGGTTCTTCAAATCCCTGCCTCCTCCAACTGTTTTGGGAGCAAGTTCGCTTCCCTCATGTTGAAAAGTTTAGGTAAACTTGTTCCTCATTGGTCCACGCGTCTGTTCACGACCTCTTGATGTGTGAAAGAAAGCTTGTCTCGGCAACGCCGCCTTGGTAATTCATAGGCTGCCTTTATCTTCTAATAAGGGCCTTTCAAGTCCTTGCCTTCTCCAAGTTACTTTGGGAGCACTTTCGCCCCCCTTAGGTTGAGAAGTTTCGGCACGCTTGCTTCATGCGCTGGACGCGCCGATTCCTTTTTGCTCAACTCTTTTGTTTTCGACCTCCGCTATGTGATTTTAAAAGATGGCTTCGTCAACGGTGATTTGAAAGACATAGTAATCCTCCACTCTTAAAAGCCCTTGCATCCTTATGGACAAGATCTCAGTTGCAACTATCTCTTATATCTGAAGGCGGCTGGTCTCCTTCAAGTCACTTTGGGAGTAATCTCACTCCCTTCATGTTGAGAAATGCCGGGAAGCTTGCTGCTTGTGCTGGATGCGTTTTCTCTCCTCTTGCACCACGCCCTTGCAGGTCCCTGCTGTGCACGTAACAGCTGATCTCTTCAACGACGCTTTGGGAGACATAGCCTCCCTTCACTCTTCAAAGCCATCCTCATGGACAAATTCTCAATCATAACTGTCTTTGAAAGCAGGTGGTCTCCGTCAAGACGCTTTGGGAGCAATCCCGTCATTTCACTTCCTGCATGCTGTGAAATTCCAAAAAGCTTGCTGCTTGTGCTGAATGCGTCTTCTCTCTCCCTTGCGTCCTTATGGACAAAATCTCAATCACAACACTCTCCGAAAGCAGCTGGTCTCCTTCAAGTCACTTTGGGAGTAATCTCACCCCTCACTCCCTTATGTTGAAAAGTTCCACGAAGCTTGCTGCTTGTGATGGATGCGTCTTCTCTCCTCTGGCACCACGCCATTGCGGGTTTGTGCTCTTCAAAGCCATCCTTGTGGACAAAACCTCAATCATAACTGTCTCTGAAGGCAGCTGGTCTCCGTCAAGTCGCTTTGGGAGCAATCCCGCCGTTCACTCCCTTCATGCTGAGAACTTCCAGGAAGCTTGCTGCTTGTGCTGGATGCGTTTCTTCTCCTCTTGCTCCACGCCCTTGCAGGTCCCTGCTGTGCGCGTAAACGCTGGTCTCCTCAACGCCGGTTTGGGAGACATGGCCTCCCTTCACTCTTCAGAGCCCCCTCATCCTTGTGGACAAGATCTCAGTCACAACTATTTCTGAAAGCAGCTGGTCTCCTTCAAGCCGCTTTGGGAGCAATCTCATCGTTCACTCCCTTCATGCTGAGAACTTCCAGGAAGCTTGCTGCTTGTGCTGGATGCGTTTCTTCTCCTCTTGCTCCACGCCCTTGCAGGTCCCTGCTGTGCGCGTAAACGCTGGTCTCCTCCACGACGGTTTGGGAGACATGGCCTCCCTTCACTCTTCAGAGCCCCCTCATCCTTGTGGACAAGATCTCAGTCACAACTATTTCTGAAAGCAGCTGGTCTCCTTCAAGCCGCTTTGGGAGCAATCTCATCGTTCACTCCCTTCATGCTGAGAACTTCCAGGAAGCTTGCTGCTTGTGCTGGATGCGTTTCTTCTCCTCTTGCTCCACGCCCTTGCAGGTCCCTGCTGTGCGCGTAAACGCTGGTCTCCTCCACGACGGTTTGGGAGACATGGCCTCCCTTCACTCTTCAGAGCCCTTTCATCCTTATGGACAAGATCTCAGTCACAACTTTTTCTGAAGGCAGCTGGTCTCCTTCAAGCCGCTTTGGGAGCAATCTCATCGTTCACTCCCTTCATGCTAAGAAATTCCAGGAAGCTTGCTGCTTGTGCTGGATGCGTCTTCTCTCCTCTTGCTCCATGCTGCCAGGGTGGTCTCTTCAACGACATTTTAGGAGACATATAGTAGCCTCCTCCCTTCATCCTTTCCACGATAACAATTAACGATTAAGCCGCTCTTGCTTTACCATTTGGTGATCTCACCTCTCCAGCCTCTCCTCGCTGGAGGCCCTGGGAGGCAGGCTGACCTCCCGTTTGTTGCTTCATCGAGGCTCCTTTGCTTCCTTTTCCTTCTCTTGACGTCTCCTTCTAAACTGGGAGAACTCTGTCTCCCTTTAGTCCTATATCTCTTCTGTCCAATGATTCTGTATCTTGGCTTTTCCCAGGATGAACACCCTTGTTCCTTTCCCGGCGGACTGACAACATTCTACTCAGCCTTGGCCATATCCTCAACGGGCTGGATAGGAGCTCCTTTTGCAACCAGTTGAAGGCGTGGCGATCCTTGATCTGTTGCGGGGCCTTCCCTTTTTGCACGGCAAGATCTCTTCATCAAAGACCATCGCTGCACCACCAGTGGCTTGAGCCAGTGCCGCATTGAATAGCCCCTGCCCTGCTAGTGATTACTTCCCGGACGCGTTGTGGGTTCAAAGCAAATAGGCAAATCAAGTAGTGTAGATCAGCGGCTTCTTCCTGAAGCGATCTTCTGGTACTTTTTTGCGTCTGCCCGATGGAGTGCTGCTGACGTCATGGTCCCAGAAGAGCGACACGAAAATGGAGTCATCTCTTCTAAAACTATGACAGAGATGAGACTCACATGCCTCTGCGTTTGTTTGCCGCTTGTCCTTTCCATGGGATTTGCCAAATCCAAGGCTTCGACATCGGAGTCACCACGAACGCGTCCAAGGAGTATATACAGGTTTCGGCTTTGCTTCAACTTCGTGTAATTCACCATAGCCTGGGCATCCTTTTTGTTGACAGCTTCGCCTTGTGCCAACAGCCATCCAGTCTTAACGAACAAAGTTTCAAGATGTTGCAGCTGGCTCACCGCCATCCCCCGCAGGCAGTGTGAACTGTTCGAATCGAAATACTTCACTGAAAGCCAGAGCTACAGAAAGTAATGCGGGAATTCTCGTGTTTACCCACGTAAACGTAAGTACATATCATATACATATATCTTATTTATTTATATATATATATATCATATATACATATATCATATATATATATATATCATATATATATATATATTTCTTTACGTCCAAGTACAAATCAAAATCATCCACCGATATGGACCGATATGTAACTATATGCAAGTAATTGCAAGTGTATGTAAGTGTGTCTGATGATGTGCACCTAAAATTACGCATTCAACAACCCTTCAGTCGAGACAACCCCAGGTTTTACAAAAATCACAACCACCCAAGTCCATCAGCGCTGACATCAAAGTTGCATCTGGATCTTCTGCTGGTGGTTTCTCACTTTCCGCCTGTACGACAACGGTTTGCTGATATTTTTTAGAAAGCCCTCTGGACGCGAAGCATACTGGGAAGATAATCATTAAAAGTTTAAGGTTTCGAAATCAAGTCATTGCGTAACGTCTATTCAATATCAATGGATTGCTTTAAGAGAAAACTGGAACCGGAAACCCATAATATGCACATGCCACTTGAAAAGCACAGCACTTTTTGACCCAATTCTATGCGTATATTATACGCCATGTATGTATGTGTATATATATATATTAAATGTATATGAATATAAACATAGATATATACATGTACACATATCAAATGGTGTTTGACCTGCTCAATCAACCCCACGAGATGTCGTGACGTACAGGTATGTCGTATAAATATATAAATATATTATCATATTATATATATTACATATACCTAACGGTCAATCGTCCAGTCTATGAGTCAAACCCTTCCCCCAAACTGGTCTAATTCATCTCCGGTATATATATATATGGATAAATGCAGTATGTGAATGTGCACCTACATGTGTATATGTGTGAATGTGTGTGTGTGCGTGCGTCAGTATGTGAGTGTATGTGCGTGAATGTGTGTATGTGCATGTGTATCTGTATCTGTAGACGTACATGTTTATATGAAGATGGTACCAGTATACACCTTTACTATATACAATATTCATGTATGCATTCGCAAACAAGGATTCCTACTGGAAGCATACACGGTTTTTGGAGGATCCCCATATATACATATATATATATATATACAATGTATGGTCATCCTAAAAGTGCCTAGAATATGGACATTCCAAACATTACAAGTTCTCACAAGTTTAGTGAGGAGTGTTTGAAATGTCCAGGTGGGCCAGTCAGGTCGATGTCTGTGGCAATGTCTCACGGGATGAGAGACGCACAAAGATTTGAAACAATCAGTGAGCAATGTCTGTGGCAATGGCTAACTGAATATTTAACATGCATGTACAAATATGTATATATTATCAATCATCATTCATAATGTACATATATATATAATATGTTACATATATATATATATATGTATATATATATATTGCATATATATATGTATCATGAAGATGGCTCGGATTACCAATGGACCCCACTTAACCGGGTTGCACCCCGGATAAACATTGGGGAACTGAGCAAGAGGCAAAATTACACATGTTCCCTCCCTCGCCTTGGATGCCCTCGAGTTGGGCGAGCCGGGAGGCGAGGCCACCGGTGAGGCCGGGGGGGAGCCGGGCCTTAAAAAATCAGCCCCGGAAGTGTCGGTGGAGAGAGGGATTCCACCCAAAAATATGGGAATTTCAATGATTTTCATGGGATTTTATGGGACTTTCAAGAAATTGACTGCCGAATTTCCTGCCTAAAAGATCCCCAAAGTATCGAAAAGTGAGGAGTTGATGACTTTCAAGAAATTTTGTTCGTCGATGAGCGATTGGGATCTAGATGGAGCCATAACAATTGGTCCAATGACCAAGGGCAGCACTATGAGGATTTGACCAACATGAGGGACTAAACTGTGACTAACCACAGTTTAATCATGTGCAGAACAAAATGCCAACCAAACATCGTAGATGGTGAAATTTAAGGTCAGGTAACATTATGTTTTTTTTGAGCCCCTGGAAGGTTTAATTCTTGATATTATTTCAAACATGGTCACTTCAGAACCCGAATTTTGGAGGGCTATCCAGCTGATGACACCGGCGCAAAATGTAAAGAAGACAAAGAGCAGAAACAGTTGTCCCTACTGCCAACAACTTGAAACAGCAAAACTAAGCAAGAAACAGCCGAATTAGCTATTATCATTGTTCTTTGGATGTAGACCCCAGTAAGTAATTGAGTAATAATCTAGTAGTTTCAATTTATATCTGTGATACGCCCAGTTATATACAGCTTACTGTCCAATCACTGCCCGGGCCGTCAACCAATTGTGAGTTCTGGACATGGACCGCGAATGACCCACTTGTGTATGATCTTTACCATTCTTTACCATGTAAAGCCACACAGGCCATGAATTGTTGCTCAAGTTCCATATGGCTATGGATTACCCAAAACCATGGGAAACACAAATCCACATCGGGGGATGAACATGATAAAACATCCACAGATCCCAACGGACGGTTCAGGCTCAATGGATTCCTATGGGCGAACCATCCCCATACCAGGGCCATGATCCAACTACTAAGAAGCCAGCTCATCCTCAACCTGCACGCCTGACGAAAGGACGACAAAACATGACAGAAATTGAACAAACATGTATATAGTGGACATGTTGTATTTCTATAACCAACATATATCTGTTCATGAATGTTTATGTTCGCTCAGATTTTTCTAGTTATATATAGCTGGTTATGATATGACATAGTGATTGATATGTCTTCATTTACGCCAGACGAGTGCCTCAATGCTGCAGGGTTTTCCCAGACCATACGCTGGTTAATTGGGACCAACATCCAGTTTTGACACGCAAAGTCATCTTATCTCTACAAATTCATTCTTGGCATATATACAGTACACATAAATACAAACATATATGTAATAAATATACATACGTAATACAGTATATCCCATGTATACAGTTATGTATTTATACAGTGATATATATATATATATATACATACATATAGTATGTATATATATATATAATAGCATTTTAAATACCATGGCATTCCATGGCATTCCATGGCATTCCATGGCATTCCATATGTTTTAGTATGGTATTTCCCTAGCAGCATCCAGCGAAAAAAAAAAAAAAAAACGCCTTCGGCGGCAAAGAGAGCGAAGCCGGGAGGCCGCAGGGACGGCGGATCAAAGGACCTGGGAGGGAGCTCGGCGCCGTAACCGTTGGTTCTTTAGCACCAAAAAGATCCGAAAAAGTGAGAAACCTGGAACTATGAAGTTATGAAGTACATCTATGTACATCTCATCATTTCATCATTAAGTTATGAAGATTTATGAAGTACATTTCATCATTGAATATCATGTCCATGAAAAAATCCGCGTGGTTTTTTGTTTGAGGGAAAGGGGGAAATCTACAGGAAGACCCATAATTTCCATGTGATATGGGAACAACACATAAAAGAACTGGTTTTCCGGTTCCGGTTTTCCCTTGAACATCCTGAAACAAACAAATTGATAATGTGAACATCAACTTAGTTAACTTTAATAACAACTTATACATTGGGACTCAGGATTTGCTGGATTGACATCTTTGACCGATTTCTACAGGTACATTTGAGGGGGGAGGTACCCTCTGGTAAACTAACATAACTATGTAACTATGGAAAATCACCGTTTTTAATGGGAAAATCCACTATAAATGGCCATTTTCAATAGCTATGTTAAATTACCAGAGGGTATACTTGCGAGCCTTTGAGGGGTATTTCAAAAGAACAAGCTTGGGCGCAGGATTTCAAACCCCAACCGACGATGAAACCACGACCAGGTTGATGCCGACTTTTTCGACACAAAAAAAAAACGGAGCAAGAGGCGTGTAGGGTATCCAAACAACCTGAGGTAGTCGATGGAACTAATATGAACACATGATAACAAATGGTGTTTTTTCTTGCCGCGACAACACTCCAAAACTAAGCACGTTGCCAACCTCAGGATTTCTGACATTGATGAGTAATGAGTACTCCATCAACAAAGTTTGGGAATCAACATCAGTAATAACAACATGTTTTTTCTCGGAAAACTTGGAGACCTAATTGCTGGTGAAGAGCCAACTGTTGGGAGTTCATTGCTGGAACTGGAATATCTTTTGTGTACATCCCAGAAGCTGTGTGCAATGAGGAAGGTTCAACATACTTGGACCCGAAAACAGCCGCGATAAATTACCAGCAATCAAAAAAAAGAACATATATATATATATAAATATGTATAACTATATATATATGTATAACTATATATATATGTATATACATATATATAATGGACAAGAAAGTTCTCAGATAACTTTCATTGGTGCCTTCTTGTTGGATCCATAATACTCAACATCTCGCCAGAAAAACGAGACGCGGTCATGACCAACCGTAGACACCGTAGACACCAAGGTTTACACACACTCTATTGCTTTATCGAATTACTGTAGACATATACTGCACAATTCATGCAGAAACCAATTAGCATCATCAATACATGCATGTCAGTCTATTAAAATCAAAATTATGTATGCAACCATGTCACATGTATCAATCTGAACATACTGAGTAGATAATCTGGTTGGTGGTTTCAACCCCTCTGAAAAATATGAAAGTCAATGGCCATATATTATGGAAAAAAAAGGTTTGAAACCACCAATCAGTAATGGTCAGTTTGGTCATTTTGGGATGGCTTTCCCTAATCCCAGCTGGGACCCCCAGCAAGGCACCAGCGATTTGCGGGTCCAGCCTCACGCCGCAGGAACAGGCCATCTCAAGCACAATGTACGATATATATATATATATACATAGTAATGTGTATATATGTATGTATATATATATAACAATGTATAGATATATATATAAATTATAACTATATATATAATATTATACATGTATATATATATATACACATACATACATGAATAGCGGACAAAATTATATGTCAAATTTAATGCCATGCACAAATTAGGGTCGTCCCCTATCGGTTGTGAAGATTTGAGTATTCCTGGAGGTATCACAAATGGGATATCGGTATAGGGCCGTCCCCTATCGCTTATGAAGGGTTTGTGCAACCTCGGAAAGGCCATGGCGAAGCAAGATTAAATTAGTATTACATTAAATTTGTCGGTTACTCATGTATGTATATATATATATATATGTGGAATATTATGGATTATACAAGGGCATTCTATGTGTGGAATTGTGTATCTGCATTTATAATTTTACGAATTGTTGTTCTCTCATGTCAGGCCGATACGTTGCCTGTGCCACTGATAGCTCCAAGGAGCAACAAACACTCCACGACCCCACTATCTGTCAAGCTTATATAATCTTATATGATCTTATATCTTATAATATATATATAATTATATATATACAGTATATATAGAGCCCCTTCAAAACTGGAAAGTGTTCGTAAAATACAAAGCATATTCCTCTGTCGCTAGGCCTTTAGGCCTTTAGCCATGAAAAGCAAGCATGCATCAAGTGGTTTACCTAGAATCTGCGTTCAAGGCATGAAACTCCTGTTGATATTTTTCTGCTACCGAGGCATGCATCGCCAGAATGCTCTGCTGGAAGAAATTCCACCACTTTTGAAGGGTTATCTCTAAGTATCTAGCGTGTGATTTGCTATTCAACTAGTTGCATAATGTCAATTACGACAAATCATGACAAAGTCTGTTGTGATACAAATGGAAAGAACCATATATGTGCAATTCGTGCAATGGACCAATCCATATCCTTGGGGTACGAAACGCAGCGTAATGCCCAATGCCACATATACCGAATGCCCTTGAGTGGGGTATCAGTTGGAAGCCTTCAGGCCTGATCCAAGCCATGTATCGTCATCACCAATGGGTTTTCCGTTGCCATGACGCCATGATATACAGATTCTCCAGGTGGATCTCCCATTGGAAAAATCAGCCAATTTTCATTAGCAAATCCAATTTTCAATAGGATTATCATAACACCTGCTATTATATATATTAAATTATTGTTAATAACACTAGCTTTTACCCTGCAGATCCCTGCAGTAAACTAACATAGACTCCAACATAGACCCTGTCAAATAGGGGGTTGGAAGAATAGTTTCCACTAAAATTGTCTATTTTCACTTTCCAACTGTTAATTTACTGGAGGGTAATGTCTATTAATAACAATAATAGTTCCATAAAACAATAACTACGATATATAATATTGTTTAAAATCTATGAAATAAAAACAACATTTAATAGCCTATAGTAATTTAATATAATCATCATGATAATAGTTCCATATGCTTCCATAGACCGTAGCAACGGTCCTTTTCCGAGGCCGGCACCTTGCTTGGGGTCCAGAGGAGCTCTGCAACTCACGTTCCAGGCGCTGAATGGCATGGCCTGATGGGTCAGTTCCATCAAATTCGCGGATCTGTGGATGATAGTGACATATAGTGACTATAGTGGTTTCAGTCTGGTGAATAAAGACTGTTATACTTGTGAAACAACTGTTTATATGGAAGATTACAGTTGAAAGACTTGGAGTAATTGCTAACCATCTATTTAGGGTGATCATTTCAAGGCAGACACTTGCAAGACCCGGTTGGATAAAGTTTGTGTACCTTCTGGTAAACTAACATAACATACCCTTGTAACACAGCTACGGAAAATCACCATGTTCAATTGGGATCAACTAGGTAGAGATTGACGGGAACATCTGAGTGTAGACATGTTAACCCTGAGATTTACCAGTGCTATCATTTACTATCATTTACTAGCATTTACTATCATTTACTATCGTCTATATACTATCGTTTAATCGTTTACTATAATTTACTCTCATTTACTATCATTTACTATCATTTACAGTACTATCATTTACTATCATTTACTATCTATTATAGTTGTTTGAAGTTTTTTGTTTAATATTGAACCAAAGTACAAAACGACATGGGCGTTCAACAAATGTCAAAAAAGTATTGGACTTTCTCCCAGTTCCAAGATGTTCCAAGTTCCACATGCAAAGGATGGAATATGATGGGAAATATGATCGAATCTAGATTCAACTACTGTTCATATTCCATCATATTCCATCCTTTAATATGGTTTATTCAACAATATGATGGAAATAAACAGTTGTTCTGTTGAATGGGAAAGGGGTGTCGACAGAAATGTCCCTGAAAAAAAAATCAGCAGTCCCACATCTGTTTTTAATGAAGCTTGACCAAACACATCTGGTTTTAATCGATCAACGTTGATCATCTGGGATCATCATCCGGTTGAAAAAATAGGAATGCATCATTACAGACATATTGTTATACTAAAGTTATATTGGTAAATTGCGATGATTATCTAAGAAACTGAAAATCAAAACAAGAATACACTACGTTGAACAATCAAGCGTTACCACAGCGATTGCGGCAATTTGCGCACTGTGAAACCGGGCCCAATTCGCTCTGCGCGCTCTTGCTGTCCTTCTCCTAAGGCAGGCTTCGCAGTGTAATTCTTCAGGCGGTTGAACAGCCCAACTCAAGACTCGATGTGCGAATCCAAACCGGAGCTTTCCGGATCCCCAAGTCACCATTGATTTTACGTAAATTGGTCTTGGAATATTTGGAGGTGCCCCCATAGGAAAGCTCCAAATTTCAGAATGGAAAGCCAGTGTTTCCAGATTTCAACCCAACCAGGCATGTTTGTTTAGCAAGTGCACACTTGGTGGAAGATTCACCATGTTTTCGACATGATACACCTGTTTTTCCACCCAGAAACATGGCGGACATAATTGATACCCAGCTCCAGACATAGCCGTCTTATGTGTGTTTGTTTAACAGCATATCAAATTTATCGAATATTCCCCCTCAAGACTCAAAATGGCCAACAAATAACGTTCACAATTATATCATATGCCAGTAAGAATTCTGGTTCCCCGCGAAAATCATTCTGGATCCAAATAATGGCTACTTTCCTGTAGAATTCCCTATATCATTCCCTATGGAAAATCCCATAATATAATTTCTCAATGGATCCAAATTCTCTAGCTTCCAAATATGGTCACTTCCCTATGGATTTCCGAAAAATCATTCCCTTTCGAAGCTGCTTGGCGGCATCGGGATACTTTCGAAGCGGCTCCTGCAGGAAGAGTTGCGCCAAGGCATCGCCTGCACTGCACAAGGTCAGAGCATCCACTGTGGCCACCTGGAGAACGGAGCAGGAAATTTGTTTTTTCCGGGAAAACATCTGTTTTTTTCATGGGAAATCCACAAACAATGGAGTTTTTTTTCACATGTTTCTTTCTCAAAAACGGGAATATCATGGGAATCGAATCATGATGAACTATGAATGGAATCTTCATGGGGATGTAATGAGGTGTAGCTGTCTGGGAAATCCCAGAACTGGATGGAGGTGTCAGGTGTCTCTCTAGATTTGGTGGATGTTGGGATTTTTAATGGGATTTTTCTTGGGATATATCCACATGAGAAGTGGATTTTTTTCAACAAGAATCCGGAACTAGGGTGGCAAATTGGCTAAAGAAAGTAGAGAAAGAAGAAAAATCACAAGTTGCCCCCTGGTTTTTCATCATTTACCTGTAGAAACAAGATGTTTGATCCCTGAACCTATGGACCAAATGGATTTAAAATATGTTTTCCACCAAACATGGGACCAAACAATCCAATGGTTCATCAAAACCCCGAGAAAAAAATCTCCAGGTTCAAGCCTTGTAGTGTATTTATTCCAAATTTCCATGCCAGATTTTCTTGGACTATGTTGAATTACATGATATTACATGTGAATATACATATATGGGTATATATATATATATATGTGTGTGTGTGCATGTATATCATGTATTCATCACAGATTGCAAGGGTGACAATGCCTATTCACCAAGCCATTACAAGTCTATGAGTCTGCCACAGATGACCCCTTTGGGGCTTTGACATCTTTGACCGCAGCTCACGTGGGCAATATCTGGTGAAATGAACGTCCATAACCCCCAGCTATTTTCGGGTAGTTCACTCCATGGACCGTTGTCTGACAGTAGCCATGGCCTGATGCTGAAAGGCAGCCCAGAAACTTGACTGAGAGCCCATACTATATTCCCAACTATATATATATATATATTTATACATACATATATATATATATTTATACATATATATATATATATACATATATATATACACATATATATATATATATATACATATATATATATACATATGCCCAAGTTGTCTCAATTTTCCATCTTAAACTCCCGAGTGGCCAGCCGCCGCATCTCCCAAGTTGCCTTCTCCAAGGTTCGCAAAAGCATTGGCAGAATCCTGCGACGCCGAGTCCGGGGGGATCATAACTGGATATCATGGGACAATGAGATTTTACCATGGGGATTTAACCATACAGTATATTATATACTGTGGGTATAACATGTATCTATTCTATATATAATGTAATATATATATATATATATGATGGTAGATTCTTAAAATTGGGGATCCCCAAGTCACCATGGGAGTCAATCTTAAAATGGTCATCCATGACTTGGATGATTTGAGGGACCCCCATGACTTAGGAAACCTCCATATGGGAATATAATGAAAATTGGAAAAACATGATGCACATATCATAAAACCATGATAAACTATGATAAACTATGATAAACTATGGTAAACTATGATAAACCATGATAAACCATGATAAATTATGATAAACTATGATGGACATAGACATGAGTCTGCGGGAAAATAATTCTAGTGGATGGAAATAAGACTGTCCCTGAAACCACTGACCAGAAACTCATTGCCGGTTTAGGAGTCATGTGAACTGCAAAATGTCAATGCTGTTGTTTTGTTTTGTTGTCCGTCGCTTGTTGGTTGCTGCTTCTTTTTTCTCATGTTCATTCCGGTTGACGGTGACAGCCTGGTCCTTGTCATGACTTCTTGATTTTGCATAGCCTTTTTCAGTTGCAATCTGGACATGGTCACTTGAGGTAGCAACTGCTACAGTAATACTACAGTAACCGAAAGGTGGCATCCAATCGGCGAAATTCACGAATGATGGATGATGTTCCCAGCTGAAAACCTCCGTTTATAGGGGATTCCCAAAAACATATATATACATATACACGTGTATATATATATACATACACGTGTATTATACTTATATAATCTTTTATAAATATATCTTATATCTCTAATTATCTCTATATATCATAGAGATAAATATTTATACATCTCACATGTGCTTTCCAATTCCAACACAACATGAAGCCTGCGGAGTTTTTCCATGGGTGATGCTTCGGTACCAACTGAGTGCAAGAACGGCAACGTTTGAACCCAAGCCCTCGTCCATTAACACCGGATCCTTCGTAGAACATGGGACCATTCGGAAATGTCGTTCTTCTCCTTGTCTTTCAGTACCTGGCAATAAACATGGGTCATTAAATGTCCCCATTGAACATCACCCAACCATTAGGTATATGGTCTATAATGGCTACTATAAGGTGATGTCCAATATTCCCAAAATGGGACAGTTACCAACCCCGGATAAAAATCGGCCAAGTCATGATGCAACGATGGTGCGAGTCATGAATTCAAGTAGGGTCGAGCACCATCCTGCAAGCTGCTCGAACATATGGGTGTCTCGAAACGACATTGGATGCTTTTATGATTCTGAAACGACCAAGATGTAGGTCTATAAGCAAATTCCCAAAGTTGTGTATGGTTCCTTGATTGAATATTGGATAATATTAATATTGGGGTAGAACCAGCCAGCCATGATACACGCCAAAAATTCAGTCCCAAGAAAGTCACCAAGCAGGTTTACAAATATCTCAAGATGCAAAACGACAGGACTTTTAATCTCACCAAGCCAAAGACAAATGTGAAAGTACTGCTACTCGTTTAGCCATACCCAATTGTACCATTTGGGAGGTAAACAGAAAACTATATAATTCCTTCCAAAAACCTGTTCTTTTTCTTGGAGGGGGACGAGGTTCCAGAAATTGTCGGTACATTCCCCAAATGGTGACTAAATCCATATGGAAATGAACATTCACCAAAAGCACACCTAGGTAATTATCCTGGCTGATCTTATTCCCTGCACAGATCATGATTCGTTTTGCAAAAAAAGGTATATAAAAACTTGTGTGAGGGTTCCCAGAATAACATGAACGGTCTTCGCAATTAAAACTCTTTACAAGAACCTTTAGATCGATTACCATATATAATATACACGTATATTCCTGAAGTAGATAGATTCTAGGGGTTTTCAAATCCCACTTTTTGCGATGTGTCCATCTGGTAATCAAACATGGCTGCGGAGATCCATTGGAGATTGGAGTCAACCATGGCTTCGGCAGGCTGTTCAAGGGCGGTTTATTGGGGGAAATCTGAAAGGATTTGCATCTTTTCATATATTGCTATAGTTTCAAAGTCATAAATAATCCGTGAGAGATATATATATTATACATTATACATTATACATTATACATTATACATATCATGTCCCCAATGTAGATTACTCCCTCCAAACTAACTAATCGGTTCCTCAGAATCCGTAGAATCCAAGGCATTTTTGGCGCACCCTTTCCTTCAACTCGTCCTGTTGCAGGATGTCCTCGCAAAAAAAATGAACCAATGGGGGATCCAAAAAAGTCTCTATTTTCTCCATCTCTGGTGGAAATATTCGTGGACATATTGTTAAAAATAGATGACGAAATCCCAAATATCTGAAAAAATACATCATGGGTTTTCTCGATTTGGGATTCTTTGGGTGTGAAAAGCTCTAAATACCCCGCATTTTATGCCAAGAATGGTGATGACCGCATCATGTGATTGGGATACCCCAACAGGGCGATTCCGAATCGGGCAATAAATATGTCTTAATTATAAATAAGTCTAAACTGGAAGGAATACGAAATGTGTCAGGCGAACCCAAGTCATGAACCTCCCGGAAACACAGCGCAAGTTTCTTGGGTCTGGGATGGTCTGGGATGGTCTGGGATGGTCTGGGTGCAACAAAAATGAGAGATTCACAACCCAACCAGCCAAACCACCAGCTATGTCGACCGTCGCCCTCCATACTCTCCTGCATATAGCAGATCTTGGGCCAAGCGAAGGTCAGGAAGACGAAGCTACAAACGTCCTGGCTATGGATCAGTTGCAAGGCTTGGAACTCATCTTTCCAGGGACGAAGACATCAGACACAGGGAAGAGCCAATTTGAAGCTCGTTTCCAGGATTGATTGACATTAATTGTCTTCTCAATTGAAGGATGTGTTTTTCGATCTCTGGTTTACCAAGGGATACCTCACCAATTGAACTATTTATTAGTTCGCTCCATGCAACCCGTGGATATAAACAGGCGTATAACGGATGACTTATGTCACCTAACCTGACAATTCCAGATCCCATTTATGTCATAGAAGATTTCCCATCACTTGTTTTTTTTCCCCCTTGCCATGTTTCCTTGCCGGCAGCAAACTGGCCTCCATGAGATCTGAAGCAGATAGTGTGAACCTCAGGCTGTTGACTAAGGGTGCAGGATCTTGATTTGTTTCTATGTAATATATATATATATATAGAGAGAGAAAGAAAGAGAAGGGAAACGAAAAAACATAACAAATGTTCCAAATAATTAAATCAATAAACACTAAACACGATAACCAACATACATATACAACGTATTTGCAAATACGGTCCATTTCCACCCGCCACAGCCAACGTCCAGCTGCGCCCAAGAAACAGGCGCCCGGTGGCGTCGCGCATGGTGCGATCCAGGCATTCGCCCATCTCCAGCAAGCGATCCATGATCTGGCACGAAATTGTCGCAATTGTCAACCTGTCAACCATATGATGACGGTTAATGATCGTTAACGGCGGTTCATCGAAAACAACTTGGAGAGTACCTCTATGCCTGTGCCAATGTTTCATCGTGTTGTTTGGATGTGTGTTGCTTGGTTGACTCCCAAATGTGTGTTGAATCTTTGGCCACATGCCAAAGTTGTTTTTCCGATTGGACTCCCATGTTTTTCTTGTCTATCTTTGGCTACATCAATGGCTACATCAATGGCCATGCCAAAAAACAAAATCATCCCCACAAGATTCTTCATATATGGTTACATCATGTTACATCCATAAGTCCATAACTTAAAAATCATGGTGTTTTTCCCATGTTTTCCCCCACGGCCATGATGCTCA